GCAGTCTCTAGTAACAGTTGCAGGCTGGCAGAGACGTAAGTTACACATCAGGGAGGGTAGGGGAGATGCTGGCAGCAGTCTCCAGAATCCCATACGCCAGACGGGGGAAAGACTGAGGGGAATCACTGTTTATTATGCATCCAGTGCGGCCGTCAGGGCTCTTTCCTGCACTCTCGATTTCATTCTGTCAGCATCTCCACTTTACAGAGGCTCAGGAGGGGAAACAGCCTGACTGGCTCCAGCCCACATTGGGATTGCTGGGTGGGGTGGAGCAGCCAGGGCCTGCCTCTGAAGCTTTGGGCCTCACTGAGGCACTGAGGAAACGAGAAAAGCTGACCCTCATCTAGGGAGAATGGCAGCCATGAGGCCAGCATCCCAGTCGCGCCCACCCAGGGGCATGTCAAGGGCCTCCCATGAGTCCCAGGAGCTCCAGAAGCCGAGGGCACTGGTCAGAGTGCAAACATCTCCCACATCATCTCAAGTCAGAGAAATAAATCACATTGTGGGATCAATTAATCAAAGACAAACTAAAATAGGAAAGCCATTCTATAAAATAAACACAGAAAAATTCACTGACCTAAAAAAAATTAGCTGACCCAGTAAAATAACTTAGAAGTTTATAAACTAAAATCCGATCACAAAAGGCTGCACGCTGGCATGGAGGAGGAGAAAGGCCAGAAGAAGCCCCAGATGAGCCCCATGAGTGTGAGCCCTCCAGCTGGGCACAGCTCAGTTCTGCCCCCTGGGTCACCTGGGCCGATGGAGGGAGGCATTCACCACTGGCAGGTGAATGTCCCACCCCCATGCAGGCAAGCGGCCATGCACGACTCCCCTCTATCCCGGGAAAATAGTAGATGCTGGAGTCGAACGCACAGTTCGTACAATTCTATACGTGACACTGCGTGTGTACAGAACATGCCACGGGATCTTGCAAAAAGCTGCAGAAGGCTTCTAAGGCACAGCTGTCAGAGGAGCAGCCAGGACAGAGAGAGGAGGAAACAGTTGCTGTATCTCAGACTCATGGCGCGTACCATCCGGTGCAGTACAGAGGTGTAAATTACCATCCGACAATCATTACATGAAACAGTGTCTCTCTCTCCAAACAAAATTAACTTATTTTGCCCTGTTACAGCAGCAACAGATTTACTATAAAAATTCAAATGAAGAAATCTTATAAAAAATGAAGAATCATTCAAAAACTCCATTATTTAAAGTTTATCACTATAAACTTCTTGTGACTAATTTCCCAACAATCTCTTTCCATAGTGTTATGTGTAGCTGTGTACATACTATAATGTTACCTACTTGTGACCTTCATTTACATGCTGCTTGTTCCTGTCTTGTGCACTCAACAATATTCTGGATTGACACAAGCTATACAACTTCTGTTGACTGACAAATTCAGCATGGAAGGGAAAAGCTCTGAAAAATCAGAATTTCCATTGCACTTATGTTACAACCTCCCTTTTTTGTATAATCACAATATCAAAAATATTCTGAGCAACCATCAGTTTACAACTAGATTGTCTTAGCTTCATAAATTGGCTACCTGGCCAGGGCAAAATATGAGCTGCCCCAGGGCAGGAAATTCCTCTGTTTGGAGACAAAAGGCAACCTCCAGAAGAGATAAAACACCCACCCACCCACCTCCTACCCTCCACCCCCTCCCACCCTCCACCTTCCAGCATCAAGACTCCAGGGAAGCTTCCTGGCCTTTTAAAACAAAAAACCTCTGATAAAACTCCCAGGGTATAAGGACTCATGGACAATTTGCTAACATTATTGACACAGATTTTGCTTAATGCATGACTATGTGACTTCCTCTTAATTTACCTTTGTCTTAAACAATCACTAACTACTCTCTGCTAGTCTTAATTAACCTTTTCCTAAAACAAACACTAGCTACTCTCTGCTAGCCTTAAGTTAACCATTAGCTTTTCTTTAGACAATCACTGATGACTCTGCTAATACAATTTATTCCTTCCCTAGGACCCCTAAATCCTTTACTAACAGATCATCCTTTCCCAGACCCCTTATCCTTTGAAGTCATAGTTAAACATCCGTACACATAAAAGTTATCACACATATGTATAGTCTAGTGTGCCATAAAGTGTCAGGAAGAGTATGCATTGTTCCCCTCTTCCTTGAGAACTTTTATGCTCATTTCTTATTAACTAACCTGATACATTATTGTAATTAACTACTTGCTAAACAGTATCAATAAAAACCTGCTAAAAAGATGGGCAGGAGTTGCACCCAGCTCCGACTCCCGTGTCCTCCTCGTGCCTGCTCCCCTTCCCCACTTCTCCCTGCCCTCTGACGGTTCACTGGGGCCAGTCCCGACACCAGACATCTTCTATGTCAGTGAAAATACACGCATCATCAATTCTAGTTACCACACAGTATTCTACTGTATGCACCATTATTTATGTGACCCTTAAGTGTCCATTAAGTGATGGACAACACTACGTCTAATTTTTTACTCTTTATTTAACAACCTAAGCACCTAGCACTGCTCTAAGAACCAGCAACACAGCAGTGAACAAGAGCTTACACTAGATACCTGGCCAAATGAAGCCTAATGTAGGGGAGACTAATGGTTCCCCAGTAAAGAAGCAGATACATACGAGTGCTGAAAAGAACAGACTGCTTGGCAGGGAGTCGGCTACTACAGCTCAAGTAGCCTGGGTGCAGAGGTGACAGCTGAACAGAGGGCCTGAGACAGTAATGCAGAGGAGATAAGGGCACACCAGATCGAGGGAACGGTGGGGGCCTGAACGGTGAGGGCAAAGGCCCCGTGGGCCCTCCCTGGTGGCGCAATGGCTTAAAGTGCAGCACTACGAAGCTGGCCCCAGCCACTGCAGCATGGGAGCTGACACATGGCTCCGCAGACCTCTCCTGGCCCGCCCGCTGCTCCCCTCAGCAGTGTACTTCGTCGATCTGCCTGTTCTGCTCCCCACTCTGTCTCTGGTGAAGCCTCTCACCACCCCTTCACCCCAGGCCTTCAGTCTTTATCTTCTGATATTGTCTCACAGGTCACTAAGCTTTGTTCAACTTTTAAATCTTTTTTTCTTCTGTTATTCAAAATAAAGGTCCTTTGGCTTCATTTTAAAGTGCCTTGTTCTTTATTCTGTCATCTCAGTATTGGCAAATCTGCAAGTTAAAATTTTCCTGGTTCATTGTGTAATTAATTTTGTATTGTATCTGGAGATTTTAAATATGATGCTATGAAACCCTAGGTCTTGCTTACATTCAATGGAAAATACTGATATTTTTGTCTTACCAGACAATCGACAAGATTAGATTAACATGGCAAGTTCTGACTGGCTTCATGTAAGCTGTGGCTTTGATGCCAGCTCCATTGTCAGAGCCTATTCAGAAGCGTTCTGGGGTATGCGACCCAGTGCCCAATGTGGGACTTGAGGGAGGCTGCCCCTGAGCTCAGCTCTCAAGTCTTTGGTACACCGCTGTTATACAGCACAAAGGAAACATGGACACCAGGGCTACCAAGAAGAGGTTTCATGTACCAGTGCTGACTCAGCGGATTCACATCCCAAGGCTGAGCCCCTTGAGCCCCCTGTAGGACGTCAGGGCCTTATATACACTTTCAGCTTCTACAAGGTCCCAGGAGGGTTTGTACTGGCAGCTGTACATGCTCAGATCTGATGTGGCTACATGGAGCGCCAGGGAGACCCTGCCTTTTCGTTTTCTTAATGGTGTCTCTTGATTAACAGAAATTCTAACTTGAATGTAATATCACTGATAAATATCTTCCTCTATGAAGATACAAATTTAAATTTATTTTAAAATTCTAATCTTAATAGATGACCTCTCCTGACTCTGCCTCTTGGTGAGGGCCTCTTCAAGCCCACAGAGCTTAAGAGAGCAGGCCAGCAAGGGAGAGTGTGGCTTCAGAGTTGCAGAGGTACCTGCCCTGCACCTATTACTGTCCCTCTTTGAATGGCCTTCATCTTTACCAAAGATAGACTACCCCCCAGGCAAGATGTGTGTGAAGTTCTCAACATGGTGCTGGCACACAGTAGGCTCTCAGTACAAAGTGATAGTGGTGGTTTTGTCTGAACAGCTTTCCCTCACCTCACTACCGCACTGCCTGAACCTCAAGGCTACCTTGTGAAACCTTACTTTATTCCAGTCAAGCACAGCAAAAAGCATGAACTGCCCTCAAGAGGTCGGCAAAGTCTCCCTGTCACTCATAGGAAGCACCCACAGTGCAAGAAGCACCACCTTCAACTAAAAACAAGCGTTTAGTGTACAGAAATGCTCTTCCCACAGAGTCAAGTCACTCTGGGCCCAAAGGGATGCAAAGCTAAAGAATCAGAGTAACCTCTTTCTGCTCACCACCAACAGACACAGCGGTGTGGACTGGGGAGACTTCCTCAGACAAAGAGGAGTCAAGCTCCCGTGAACCCTGGAAATTTGCTAGGGGGTGGGTTGGAGCTGGGCTGCATGCACTGCTCTGTGTGCAGCAAAGGGCATCTCCTGGAGGAGGTGTGTTGTGAACATATAGGACGTGTGTGCTATCATCCTGTATAGAAAAGAGGTGCATTTCCTCAGGAAGTGGTGATGCTCTCTCCAGCCTGGCATTCTGCTGGACAGCCCTGACGGCTATCTACTTCAACAAGCCGAAAGCTTGGTAGCTCCCTTGTCTGCCCCAATCGTCCAGAAAGGATATATACACAGCAGACAGATACCCTTTCACGTGAACCTGGACCACTCTGAAGAGGAAGGGGCACCTACAGCAGACGTCTCAGGGCATACTTTTAAAGCAACAGGCTAAGTCTTCGGGATGTTGCATCCAACTGTTGCTTCCTAGTCAAGAGACCCAGAAAGGTGTTCCCAAGATTCTGAGATACTACTGCACTGCCCTCCCAGATGCCTTCTAACCCATTAGGCCCCACTTCAGATGCAGCCAGTGTTGAGTGCTGAAAGGATGATGGGGCAGGAAGGGTGGTGGGGGGAGAGAGAAGGGAGATTGGTACCTGAGCCTAGTGTCTGTCCAGCGGAGTCAAAGGAAAGAACCACTGAATCTGTAACACAAGAGGACAAGTTCATTTCTTTCTCCTTCTTATAGTAAAACAAAAACAAGCTCCCACTAGCTCTGCCCAAAGCCTCCCACAAGGAAAGTCAGCTGGAGAAGTCAGCTGTCCCCACAGCCTCCACGGCCACGCCCCCTCCACTGGGCCTGAGGCCCTGCCCAGCCAGCCCCCCAAACCTCCTGCCAGTGGGAGGAACATCTTAGGGAATGGACAGGTCCCAAATTTTTCATAGGCATTTCCTGCCAAGTGAAGGGTAAATTTCCTTCCTTTTCTTCCCATAATGAACATAAAACTAAAGCAAAAGATAACTCCATTCCTTTATCTAGTAAAAGACACTAACATATTTCCCCTTGACTTCTCCCTTTCTTCTGTTACCTATTGTTTATTATTTCTCCCTCCAAATGTCTTAAAGTGACTTAAAATATACACACTGGAATTTAAATAATGAAGAAGGAAAGGAGACATACTATACAGTCAGGGGAATGTTAGTGTACAAAACTCATCCCATGACGCCTGACACAGATGCTACAGTGAAATCCAGAAGGGCTGGAGCTTTCAAACAGTCAATGGAAAAAAGAAAGCAAACAGCAACAACATTCCATGCTCATAGTGCATTCATTCATTCATTCAGTCCTTCAGCAAGTATTTATTGAGCATCTACTATGAACTATTATACTATGACTCTGAGATTCAATAGCAAACAAAAAAAGCATAGTTTCCCTGTCATCAATCTAAGAAAGGAAATTACTTGACTAAAAGCTAGTTAGGTGAGAAGGAAATTACTTGACTAAAAGCTAGTTAAATGAGAAGGAAAAGAGTGCTGTGAAAGTTTATATTAGGAAGAAGCCCTGGTTGAAAAGGGGGATGGATGTTGGCTAGGGAGAGCTTCCCTAAAGAAGTAGCACTTGAATAACTAACAGAAGGGTAAGTAAGGGTTAAACCTGACAGGTAAGGAATGGGGGGCATTCCAGGCAGAGAGAATTCCACATGTAGAGACCTGAAGCAAGAAGGAGCAGAGCACTTCAGGGCAGGTAAAAAACCAAAATATAAAAGCAAATACCATACAGTGATCATAAAGACATTTTCCTCATGGTCTTAATGAAGGTGGTGTGTGGAGTGGAAGGACTGTGCCTCCTGCAACATTTCTACAGTAAGTAGTTGTGAATCTTGTCTGGCTATTTCTTAGAACATGAGCCAACATAAAGTGATGGCATAGTGCCAATGAACAGCTCAACAAAAGCAATTATAAGGAACAAGAAGATAATATAAGGCTCAGGATAACCCAAGAGACCCCAGACACAGAAGGGATCATATTCAAAAGGCTCACTCACTACAAAAGAATGCCAGCTGGGTGCAGAGTACCAGTGCCTAGAGCACATCCTGCAGACCCAGAGGCCCAACACAATGGCTAGTTACAGCACATACTCGCAAAGCATCCAGCCCCACTGCTAGACTAAGGCCCACGAAGGTGGACACTCTATCTGCTGTATGCACGACTTTATTGCCAGCAAAACACCTGGCACACAATAACTCTTTGCTGAGTAATACTGCTTAGAGAAATGAATGAACCACAAATCCTCGGACAATCCTTCATAAATATTTTTCTCATAGCAGTGTTTGCTAAGAACTAGATGGCAAGAATTAGAGAAGATGATTTTGGGTAAGGATTAAGAGGAAGAAATTTTGTACCTCCAATTAAAGAGAGTCCCTATGCTTTGAAACACACTGAGTAAGGGGTATGGTTGGCAATTTTTTTTTTTTTTTACAAAAATGTATTAGGACTCATCACTGGACATACAGGTGATCATATTAATTTATATAATGATACGAATTCTTTTTTTAAAGATTTATTTATTTATGCATACAGAACCGGAGTACAAGCCAGAGGTACAGGGTGGTGAGAGGCTTCACTAGAGACAGAGTGGGGAGCAGAACAGGCAGATCGACGAAGTACACTGCTGAGGGGAGCAGCAAGCAGGCGAGACAGGAGAGGTCTGCTGCGCCATGTGGATCTCCTCCAGGGCCGGGAAAGGGGATCAAACTCGCACTGAAGCAGCTGTGTGCTGAGCTTTAACCCGCTGCACCACTAGGGAGGGCCATTAAGATCAAAATTCTTTATCAACGTTTCTTACAAGTGTCTCCTCTTAATCCTATTACCCTTTTAGAAGAGAGATCTCTCTTTCTCTCTCTGAAAGAACCTTATTTAGGCTTAATGCACATACTATAAATTCACTCATTTTAAGGGTATCATTCAATGGCCTTTTAGAAAATGCCCAGAGCTACACCTCTATTGCCATATGCAGTATTATATTTCCATTACCCAAAAAAGATCTCTTGTGTCCATTTTTGGTCACGCCCTGTTCCCGCCTGCAGTCCCAGACGGCCCCTAATTTACTTTCCCTGCCTATAGATTTAACTTTTCTGGATATCTGCCTTTTTTCATTTTCTTTTCTCTTCTTTTTTGCTGGTACTGTTTCTCTAGTCCTCAAACTGGACTCTGCCTGCAATTTAGTCCAATCCTTTATATTGCTGTTGAGTTTTTCTAATGAATACACCTGACTACGTCTTCGCTTTTGATTAAAACCTTGCAGTGGTATTCTGTAGCCTGTGAGAGAAATCCAAGCTCTGACATTCAAGGTTTTCACCATTTTGCCTCATTTGCCACCTTTAATTTAGCTTATGTTCCAGATATTCCAAACTACTTCCATTTCCCTAAAGAGATGAGTCTTCGTGTTTCAGACAGCAATGATCCCTCTGCCTGTGTGGGTGAACAACTTCCACTGTTTTCATAAAACCCAACTCCATCATCCCTCTTCTTGAAGTTTCTCTAATCAGTTCTGCTCACTTCTTCTTAGGTCACCACTGATGCTCTGGTGGCATTTATTATGCTGCATTACAATTCTTTTTTTACTTCTCTTTTTCTGTTAGTAAACTGCACGGTCCTTTCAGGAAAAGAGTACCTATTCATTTTGAGCTTTGAGAAAGTGGGCAATATGTCTATTACACAAAGGAATAAACTGGGAACATCCCTGCTTCCTTTCAAAGTGATGTCAGGTGAGTGATATTCTTTCTACGAGTTGGGGCTGGGTGTAGGGGATACGTCCTACGTATAGATTCTCATCCATTCGAAGTCAACCTTGACCTGTCCTGCACGTACAAACTTCAGAAGTTCAAGCCTGGCTTCATCTTAGGCAGATAAAAGCATTCCCGAAAGTCAGAGCGCAGGAATAAGAAATGGGACCATGGAGCCTTCTAGGTGAGAGGTCACATTGACCTGGAGATTAGGAAGGGCATTCTGAGCCCTGCCTAGATGAGCAGCAATAAAAAAAGCAGCCCATGGAAAACTGTTTGGAGGTTCCTCAAACTGCTAAACATGGAGCTTCCCTACGACCCAGCAATCCCACTCCTAGGTATCTACCCAAAAGACACA